CGCTGGATGTACAGTATGTCTGGTACTACTGTATAGCGGATATTTGTTAAGATCCATATGTCACGGATAGGATCATACTCTGTGCTAAATAAGAGGCATGTAATCATTTACAAAACATCACCATGTTGTTATTTAACAAAATAATGTTTCTGTGTACGTGTTTTACTGTACTGTGATCTGCATGCACTTATCAAACATTTAATTAAAGAATGGTGATATACACAGTATATGCTGTGATGCAGCGGGAGGAGCAAAACACACAATGTCCAATTTTGGTCCGTAAAGCTCTGTGTTGTGATGTCTATGTTTACTTCCCCTGTCGCGAGTTCCGATCGCTCATTGATGATACTTATACCCCTAGAATCTGTGGAATCTCAGCTTGCTAATCGATATCTTGTTTGTGCAGATCCGATATGTAATAAGGGTATTTATACCTAGAGTTCTGTGCTAAGTGTGATAGCATTTTTTCGCTCAGGGCTCATTTAGACGCTTCTTGTGAGACTTGTGTTTTGTTTAGGTAAAAATGATTCATATCGTCAGTTAGCTGAGTTTCTTCCCGTTAAGTGGGTATGACACATTAATAGGTTTTTAGATGTTAAGAAGTCCTGAGACACAGTTTCGGGCGGGGGCTGCCGGGTTTAACTTGTGCATAAGCTAACTCACCAGTGAGTGTAAAGCAGTGGTGTGGTTTCTATGTGAACAATAAAGCATAAAAATAACCTTTCACAAACAGGTATTTCATAACTGCTTACAATTGTAAGGAAGACATTTAAACTATTATTGGCAGTCACAGGCTGCTGTAAACTAAACACAACTCTCACTGACAGAACACCTCACTGAGTGATTGAACTCATGTCTAACTTTCAGGTTTTTCTTTTCACCCGCAGACCCCTCTTTGGGTGCGTCGCTAAATTCGTCGTACTACTTGTGTACTTTAAAGTGGCACGGCATTGTTTACAATTTGCTTGCGATTTGTCAAGTTGTCCATCTTTCTTGAAAAATCCGAAGTGTTGCCAAACGTTTGATTTGTAGGTATTTTTCGGTGCGCTGTGTATCTCTTTCTCCTCGACTTCCATGTTTGTTGATAACTGTGACGCGGCTCTCGGCCTCCGTAGTGGCGAAGCAAAGATCAAAGATCGTCTCTGCTGAGCGCTGACAAAAGTGGATGAGAGGATATTATATGAATGAATCGTTTTTTTATCGATGCAAAGACGCTACAATAGATGCATCGCGAGTTCAACCCAAACTGTAGCCGATGTGCACTCTTTCAACCAAGTGTACTCACATTTTGAACATTCATGCCGGTGCACCGATGCAAATCGGTGAATATTAACATCCCTAATCTGAAGGGTGCGATGACAGAGAACATCCAGTAAAAATCTGTCTCTATCGTGGGGTCATATTATGGTATGTCAAACAGGACAAAGCTGCAGTTTGATGGATGGCAGCTCATCACTGAGTGCTGCTGTCAGAGCGTCAGCAGCTCCGGCCGCAGCCTGCTGACTTACGGCCAACATCTCCTGTTTTAATGGATATTGTTTTAGTACTATATTTGCTTAGGAAGGCTTATACTGGCTTTCCAGTTAATATGAGGAAGTGTGTGTGTTTGTGGGGGGCAATGACCTGGAGGCTGTAGCAGACGCTTGCCAACGCAAACTGACTCACTTCTTGGAATATCTTAATTTGTCACAATAAATCAGAGCAGAGAGCAGAGGGCAGCCAATCTACTGAAACACTACAGAGTGTCCGGGACTGTGTGTATTTATTTGGCAAAGTCACTATGTACACAGTATGTATGTGTATATGTACAGATTGTGTGTTTGTGTGTATGCTTTAACTTTATGTTTTGATTTAATGTTCTCTGGTCTGCTGGCTGCAGTAAAGGTTTACTATTGTGTATTGAGTCCATAGACTGTATATATAAATGGACGTAGGGTCCGTGACGTCACCCATAGGATTCTGCAGAGTTGCCGAGAAGCCCTTAGTAGACGGATTCTGCCACTAACGTCTCGACAGTGACGTCAGAGTCTAACTCCCGCCTGCTCCAGCCTGATCCAAATAAGGGCAAAGAGGCGGAGCCGAGGCGGGACCTGCTGCCACCGAGCTGGAAGTTCCAGAGCTAGCTCAGGCTAAGAAGCTAAGCTAAAGAAAACCTTTATACAAAAATACATGAAAAGTTATATGTAAGGTGTGTAGGGTTACAGACTCCTTAACAAGCAAAACATAGAACTTAAATTAGTGATGCAATGCTGAAATGTAAAAATGTGGCAGTCAAAAAGCATAGGTGTTTTAATGCCATATTCACTTAATAACACATGAACAACTTTTACAATATTTCTATATAGTCTGTTGGTAAATGTCATCTACGTTGCACATTTCCTGCTGAAATACATGCATACCAAGTTACTGCGTGGCACTGATAAAACAGTGTAGTTCCACTATATAAACGTTACATTCATAATCAAACGAGACAATCTGCAAGACAATTAGCTATTTTTCGTTATTCTTAATGCTTGTCATTCACACGTTAATAAAATAAAATAAGTAGGCTACCGATACATAGCAGAACAATTGTGGCGATGTTCAGCTTAATAAGCCTTGTTCAACATAGTTTCTTTAGCTAATACTACAGTGGGCTGCAGGCGAACCAAGTCCGAATTTTGCTGCATTCCTTGATCTCCAGTTATAACGCCGGACTCCGCCGCCGGGACGCCGGCCGGAGCTAACGGATCCGCAGGGGGCTAGCTCCAGCCGGCGGACTCCGGCGGTCACCACTGGGATAATTGGGTCCCCTTTGAACATTTGCTCCTGTTTAGCATTATGGGCGTCATAGACTATAAAAGTCTTACCCAAGGCTGAATCATAAACTAAACTGTATATATATATATATCAAGTACAGTAACTACAACTAGCTAATGTTTTAGCCTAGCAAAGTGGACAAGTTGCTGTCAGCTGACAGTGAGGCATGTACCTGTCCATCAAAGTGACCACGCCCTAATTTATGCAAAAACGTTAAGACCTAATATATATAAAAGGGTCGCGTTATAAAACAATTCACTCACCAATTCATAATCATGAAGGTGGAATCTAACTATATCCCGAATAATTTGTATTGCATCCAGGGGCAGAAACATGTTTATTTCTGCTGTAAAGTTGGGCATTTTAACATGAGGGTCTATGGAAATTGATCCTTTCTGCAGTCATCGCCTATCGGCCAATAGATGAACTGCAGTTTGTGGCACTTCCTTATTGGCCTCCCGGCTCTGCCCCAGAGTTTGCCGCTTGATTGAGTCCTGTTCTCGTTTATTCCTCTCATTTTATATGAAAAAACTGCGCATTAAAGTACATGCAAAATCCAATCCATCTAATTGTAAATAAAATGAAGTTATACTACTACAGTTCTTGGTTTTGGCCATCAGTAATGACTGATTACCTTAGTAATTGCTGAGATCAAGGAACATGATTATATTAATACATTGAAGTGACATTGAAGGGTCGAAAGACTGCAAAAGCGCTGTATAAACGCAGTCCATTTAACTTGCCATGGCAAGAAACAAGAAGCACACAGAACAGCATTCATCATTTGTGACCTGCTTTCAGATTTTATGTCCACTGCTAAATTCGTATTCAGGCAAATTTTTAGTTGTGCGGTCCATATCTCATTAAAATATCTAATGTTAGTAACTATTAAAGAAAAAATGGGGACAATTCTGTTTTAATGTAGTTTGACCATTGTAACTGCTATGCAGACATACTGATAAAATAGGGCTTCTAACTAATTACCTTAAATAAACTCACTAATGAAACCAGTTCAATTCACATTATTCTTATTCTTATCATTCTTTATGAGCGCAGTAATGGTAAGGTATCTAATTACTTATTTATTGAGTATTCCATAACTTAATAACAGAGATGGTCAAACTGAAGTGGAGACATGGCAGAAATCCTATAATGAAGCGGGACAGTGAAGTGTTCTCCGTGAGAGGGTGATCAAGAAAAGAGAGCGAGCGGCCCCGTCGAGGGAGTTTACGGAGCAGAGTAAAAGACACAGAAAGACAGAAGCACAATAACAAGTATATTTAGGTGTTTCTTTTGTAAATAACCGACGGTGTCAAGAGGAAGTAAAGTCCCCTGATTTGTCCCTTATACTCTAACGCCAGGCAGGCATTTGGTGTGATCACCATAGTCATATGAGGCTGGATCCGGCTTTCCTTTGCTTCTAGCTGTCAGATTGTAAACAAAGTATTAGAAGTATTCTTTTCTCTCGCGTCCAGGAAGAAGTTAAAAAAGTAAGAGACAATGGAGTCTCTGAGAAGGGTCAAATTGGTTACTTTAATTAAATAGCGTGGTAATGAAACAAACAGAAGGTGGTGGAGGGAGCGCAGCTGCAGCTGTGTTCCCGTGGGGTGCAGGGGTGAAGAGAGGACGAACAACACTCATCCGCTATCTCTGGGTCCTTCTCAGGTCGACTATTTTCATTTCCTCGGTCCTCGGTATCACCGGAAGTTGATTTGTCTGCGCCATCTTGAGTAGCGTCCCATGGCTCTTATTTCTGCCGGAGGACCGAGGATCGAGGAGCGAGGAGCGATAATGGAGGAGCGATAACCGAGGAACCACCAGACCATCCTCCGGAGAAATCCTCAGATACTCACCCCGCCCCCTTACTGTGTATCGCTCACTGATTGGACGATGCAGCGCATGCACTGATCTGATGCTTCTTGACATGAGAGCAGAGTTTCCCAGCGGAGTGAAGAAAATACATGAAACTCACGAGAGTCACTCCTCAGTTTATACAGTGTTTTGTTTCAATGAATGCATCATTCAGTTACAAATATGTGATATATCTGAACAACAAAGTGGTCAAAAATGATTTTATTCATTTTTTAGAAACATTTCCATGAGCGCTTTTTTCGATTTACATTTTCATGTATTGTCATTTTCAGTCACAGCTGAGGCATGACTTCCTTGATTCCACTCGGTTTAAAAGCCCTGCCTCCAGCATGCAGCTGGCACATTTGAAAGACATGGTGGCAGAAAAACTACACAAGTGTAAGTACCTTTTACTTAATGTTATTTGTATGCCTACAACGATACCGTTACGATAATGCAACATCTGTTCACATGTATTTAACCCACAACTCATATATTTCTGTTATTGAACGCTTTATATTTTCTCAACAATGTTCATGTGAAATGCCCAATTAAAGGCAAGATTTGCAATAAATAACGTGCGTATACACGCAGCATTCGTTATGTTTCGGACATATTTTGGTTGGAAACCAGTTGTTTGTTCATTTAACTAGGCTGCCTGCCACATACAGACCTAACTAAGGTACCATCATTCATTTGGCAGTCACAATCTATTTGTAATAAATCATTCAATATATTAACATCGGCTCAATTCAATAATTAAGCTGTCATTTATATGTGGCATTATGTGAGTGAAATGTTAATGGCTTAAGGTTTCCTTTTGCTGATGTACATAACGTATTTCTCCTTAAACAGGGACGGAGGCCCAAACCAGATCACTGGTTCACCATAGGACTGAGCATGACCACCTGTTCACAGGAAAGAGGTACACAGCGAAGAAGGCCTGGGGGTGAGCTACAGTTCTACATGAGTTGTTTGACAATATTGTTTTGGTGCATGGTATGATAATCAATGTAACCACTACTGTGAATGAACCACAGTGAACCTGAGTGTGTCATGGAATTATTATGCATGAAGCATATTGTCAGAAGTAATCACACTTTGCATGCCGGGATGCTATGGTTTACAAATTGTTTACTCCACAGAGAGGTTCTGCAGAAGATGGGGTTGGAGGAGTTGCTCACTCCCACCCAACTGGCAAAAAAGTGGGACAACCTCAAACGCAAATATAAGGTGAGATATTGTATTTCTAGATGCATACTATGCAGCTATTTCTATTGTGTCTTCATCTGACTCATACATTCCTTGTTCTCCCCCAGGAGCTGAAAACCCCCCCTACAGGGACGGGGACAGATGAGGGGGAGGCCACGGCAGCCACATGGCCGTGGTTTTCCCTGATGCATGAAGCCATCGGGAGTCGGCCCTCCATGGAGCCTCCAGTGCTGATGGACTCGGCTGACGTGACCCCCAGTGGGATTGGCTCTTCATCCAGTGGAGCTGGGGCCGCTCCTTGTGGCCAGGCAATTGAGGAAGAGGAGGATCCTGGGCAGCCTGGCACAAGTAGCAGCACCACTACACTGGATGAAGAGCCATCCACCTCTCTCAGTCCCCCGCCTACCAAGAGGAAGAGGGCAAGTCGGGGGGCCCTATTAGAGTTTTTAAAAGAGGAGGCCAAACAAGAGCAGGAATGCTTTGAGGCCACTCAGGCTAATGCCCAAAAGTATTTGGATTTATTTGAGAAATTTGTGAATAAATGATTTTGTTTCCAAGTTTTTGCAACGTTGTTATTGTTCCATTAAGATACACTTTGTTTGTCAAAACATTGTTCCTTTTATTTGTAAAATAATAAACATCACAACACAATAAACAGCAAATGAAGGCACACAGCTTTTCACACAGTGTGGTGCCCAAGGCCTTTCGTGTCCCCAAGTCCTACAAATAGTCATGTTCTTGAAGTTCGACTGGTTGCACACGTGGAGCAGAGAGCAGCCCTGCCAGTCGGTCTCGCTGGCCATGTCCGCCTTGATCCCCCCTCACCAGACGTGGTGGAACCACACCAATGTCCCCAACATCCTCTGCAGGCTCAAGGATGTCCCCCGCTGTGAGGCAGATGTTGTGCAGCACTGCACAGGCGGTGATGACTGAGGGGACAAAGGTGTGGTGGACCTCCAGAGCCTTGAAGAACAGCGATCTCCACCTGGTTTTCATCATGCCAAAGGCCCGCTCTATGATGGAGCGAGCCTTGGCATGATGCTGGTTGAAGCGGCTCTGCACCCTCCCTTGCAGTGGTTCTCTATATGGGGTGATGATGGCCACAGGTACTTCTATGCACGGGTAGCCACCATCACCCAAAAGGAAGAATCCTACAAAGAGAGAGAACATCTTTAGTATACTAACAGTCATTGATGGATTTTGATGTGTTAACAAGAATCTTTGGTCTCACCTGAGGGAGGATACAGAGCCCCTTTGTAGATTGCGCTGTTCTTCAAGACCCTGGTGTCATGGACTGAGCCAGGATACCCAACAAAGGTGTTGAGAAAGAAGCCCTTCCCATCACACACTGCCTGCAATTGTATGGATGGGAAGAGCTTCCTGTTGAGGTCATCCTGGCCCTGAGGTCCTGGGGGGGTCTTTATGCGGACATGGCAGCCATCAATGGCCCCCACACACCTGGAGAATACTGGGCTGTTGGCCAGCCTTGCAAACCCTTGGCCAACCTCCTCCAGTTCTCCAGGGGGGGGCAGTGTGATGACCTCCTGGCGAAGGGCTGCAATTTTTTCAACTCCAGTGTGCACCAGTCTGCAGACGGTAGACCTGGGGACATCAAAGGCCCGGGACACCACACTGTACGATAAGCCGTGTGCCAACCAATAAAGGGTAATTAAAATATTCACCTCATGTGACCAGCCTTGTGTGCTCTTTGATGGCAGGATTCTCAGCAGGGCCTCCAGTGACTGGCGCCCCAGTCTGTAGTCCTGCATGAGGTCCTGGCCATCAAAGAACACAGCAAGGACTGGCACATGAGGGTTTAAAATGGCTATGGGATCGACATCCATCTGCAAAATAAAGATACCTGTTACCTTCAGCACCTAGCTTTTACTAAACTGACAATTAATTGATCTTACATGAAATTGCTGTTGTTGGTGAAACCATTCATACTGCAACAGAATAGTGATGCTTACCTCCATTAAACCAATCACCTGTTGTAGTCGTGCCCGACGGCGCCTGGCCCTGGGCTGCTCCTGCAAGAACAGCGCATGATATGGCCCTTCTGCAATGCAGTCATTAAGTGCTATTTCAAATGTTAATTTGCTACATATCCACACAAACAAAGTGTGCAATCCAATGAATGTTAATCTAACTGGGTTTTGATATTATCACATATCTCTTTTTGTTCTCTGAATTATTTTATTTCTATTGTGCACTCTAATCAATATTAATCCAACTATTGTTCGTTTATACATTTTAAGAATGGCGTTTATCTTTTTTGAGAATGAGTTCTTATTTTATTTAATGTATTTGGGTCTACAACAGATGATACAAATGTTTGTGTCAGTAAATGTGTACTAACAGAGGGTGTGTGTGAAAATAACGGGGACAGAGCTGCTGTCAGACGATCAGCTGTGCGGCGTCATCACAAACGGACGTCGCTTCACGTGACGCGCCGGAAGAAAGGACGTCTCATTGCTCTTAAAACTCATTTCCCTGCTTCTCGTGGTTTCCTTGCGTCTCTCCATGCTTCCCTGGTGGGAGGGACTAAACGCAGGGAAACGACGCAAGTGAGTGATTTCATTTAATCGACCTGAGAAGGACCCTCTATATCCTCCATTGGCTCCTCCTCTCATGGCCCCAGCTGTTGTCGGGGGACCTCCCTCCGCTATCTTCAATGTCCGATATTGCGTAAAACAGAGGATTTAGACGTAGTGTCTTCATTATATAACTCCACATGCCTTTTCTCCTCATACTCTCTTTCATGACTTTTTATTTAATGCATTTTAACGGCTGCAATCGTTTGTTAACACAAAACCGGAAGTCAAGCTTACTGTTGGTATTCCGGAGACTTCTTCCGGAATAGCTTTTCAAAATAAACTTTAGCATCAACGTTAGCCACAGGCGAATGCTAACCGGAAATGTTTTCACAATAAAACAGTTTTGAGATTACTGTATGTTTAAACTAAATTACATCATTCAACATTCATTTTAATTTCTTACAAAAGTCACGTGACTGGGGGCAGATGACGACGCTGAAAAGGTGTGTTTCCCGCAGCGAGACGCTACAATACTAATTGTGGGCTTATCATGTTGATTCGGCCACAATCGAAAACAAATTATGCTCTCTCCAGAGGGGCAGGTCAGACAAAAATGGGAAACGGGCTGTTGCCCAGGCAACATTAGCCCTTACCTGTGCACGTCCCTGATTTCAAGTATACTACGTCATCGAGTGGCGCCGAAGGATTGTTAAAATGCATGTTAAATGCCCAGCATTCGGCGCCACTCGATGACCTAGTATACTTATATTCGACATTGAGAAACGGCCATGGTCTGATCTTTCGAGCAGCAGCTCGGATACATTTAAAGCTACAGAATCAGCACTTAAGTAACAGGGCTGAAATAGAGGGGTATGAGGCATGCTACAATGGGTGATCTGTTAGGTATTTTGAGCAAAACACTTCAGAGACATGTTTTGTATAGATATGGCCCTATAATATATTGTTCAAATATAGCATAATAGGTGAGCTTTAAACCAGGTCCCTGCATCCCCCGTTTAGAATTGGCAAATGCATTACTGATTAAATAATAGCAATCATAAACTGCTTTTCTAACAGAGTCCTTTAAATGTAAACACTTGCTCTCAACTCCCTTTGAAACTCAAACATTAGGTTTTATCAGCGTGTCGTCCTGATAAGAGTACAATGAACTAGTGATGTGTCGGTCGCGAACGAGCCGGCTCTTTTAAGTGAACGACGGGAGCCGGCTCGCGCCCGCGAACGAGCCGTTTTTTTTTGTTATTTTGTTGTTGTTAAATAATACAAGACAGAATGATATGATGATCTCCGCGCTACAGCTGCTCCGTGCATGCATGCAGTGACATGTAATATCCAAAGATTAGAGACTGTTGGATGCTGCTGTTTTGAGCATTGAAATACATTTATTTTTATTATGTTTTTTTATGATTAGAGACGGTTGGATGCTGCTGTACTGAGCATTGCAATATATTTATTTTCACTATGTTATTTATTTATGATTATCCTTGGGCTCAGCAAAGATTTGATGTCAGCTGTTGCTGTCTTTTTTTCTATAGTTACTACTGAAATAGAGCCCTGCTGTTTTGTCGGGGCCTTTTCTTTAAATATAATTTTAAAATGTCGATACAGTAGCCCCTTTTTTAAAATGTCTATGCTTAAGTTTTTATCTCAATCTCAATCTTTATTTATTTATATAGCACATTTAAAACAACCTTCAGTTGACCAAAGTGCTGTACAGGCAATACATATTAAATAACACAATGGGAGTACAATAATAAAACAATAATTAAAAACATGATAAAAAGCACAATAACTAGAAAAATATTTTTAAAAAAACACATACAAATGTAAAAATGTAATGTTCAACTAGTATTAAAAGCCAGTGCAAAGAGGTGAGTTTTTAGCTGAGATTTAAAAAGTTCAATAGACTCAGCAGTCCGGATATGTACTGGGAGGCTGTTCCACAGTCTAGGAGCTGCAACACTGAAAGCCCTGTCACCTCTGGTGTTGTTATAGGTGTTGCTATCTGCTTTGTGTAGCGTGGTTCTACAAGCAAGTCTGTGCATTCATTGGGTGGTATCAGAGAGATACAAGGGTCTGTAAATGCAATGAAAACAATTGGCCACAGCAAATAATTGATATTAAACATGTAATTTTTACTTTTGAATACTTCAGTACAAAGGATGTATTGAATAATTTAAGTGATATGTGTACACATATAAATCATTAAGTCAAAACAGGGCTACATTTGATTGAATTATAAAAGGTATAATATGTGGTAAACTGAAGAGCCGTTTGGGAGCCGAAAGAGCCGGCTCTTCTTGGTGAGCCGAGCCAAATGATCCGGCTCACCAAGAAGAGCCGGAATTCCCATCACTACAATGAACTGTACCAAAGCTGGTCGATCAGACCAGAGCTGAAGTGTTGTTGCCACTGCAAAACAAATAAAGAGCAGTGTGGAATTTAAAGAAACTCTGTCACTCACATTACATGCCTGGGAATGGACTGAAGCAGTCAGCAGTTAGTCAGGCAGATCCCACTGAAACAGGGATCAGAACTCCCAGAATGGGAAATGAGTTGAATACTTTTGACAGTATTTTTTCAAATGTATCAAATGTTCAATTTTTTTTTATTGACTTTAACCTGTTAAGCCCTGAGCCTGTTTTTCAGGTCTCAGGCTCGAAAATGACATTCCCAGAACAAATGACCATATCTTCCCTTCTAAAAGGGTTAAATTAATAATCTTCAATCTTCTCAAAGTAATGATAAACCTGTGAGTTGGATGTAGAAAAGTCAGAATCAATATAGATGTTTTTTATTTTAAAGAAAATTCAGATTGAACATAGTAAAAAACTGTAAATTATAGTGTCCGTCCAAAAATTATTTTTTACTTATAGTGAAAACTACCCTTGGATGATGGTAAGGTAGACTAAAAGCTTTAGGAATCTAAAGTACAACATATAAGTACCCTGTATCAAGATTGATGCAAAACAAGTGACATTTTACCTTTT